TTACAGAACTGTACACTTCAAACTTCAATAATCTTATTAACCAATGCCACCCCAATAAATAAAAAATTACGGAGCATCTGGGAGACATGGCCACCAGGAAGTCTGGTCATTTCAACTGGACATTCACAGAAACATTCTCCATTTCTGTGTGTGTGCGGGGGAGGGGAGAGGAAGAAGAGAGGGAGGGAGTGGGGGGGAGAGAAAGAGAATACAAAATCTGCTGAATTTTAAAGATGAAACTAGCCATCAGACACACGTCTTGCTAGTGGAAGTTGGCTTCCACATCCACCTATGGCTTGGTCGTGCCTTCCCTATTCTCAACCTTTCCATCCTCTGCACAAGCACTGCAACCTCACAGGTCAGACCTAGCAGCTCAGGAAGCACCAGGCCCCTGGGGAGGGGCTCTGAAAAAGGGAAATTAGCACTGAAGTGCTGAGGGAGACCCACCCTCACAGGGCTGGATCCAGCGGTCCTGCCTCTGCCACCAGCTAGGCAGAAAAGTTGCTCCCTCTGGCTCTCCCGGAAGTATGAAGATGGGTGAAACCCAATTCTGGGAACTGGAGGTGGGGATGGGGGGTCAGCAGTCTATTCTATGTATGGCCACTCTGCACCACAGCCAGGGCAATATGGCCGGCAGATCTTTCTGGAAACAGGATCTGCTTGTACCACTGGTGCCGTGGCAGAAATGCCTCCTGCTACTATTTTATGCAATAAGTGAGGAGTAGAGGTCTGTCTCCACAACATTACACCTAAAATTTACTGCAAAATTCAGCCCAAGCAGAGGCTGTGAGCACTGTTAACATAAGTGGCTCACAGTGGTCCAGGCCCAGTGCACCTAGAGGCTGACGCCTCCAAATACTATTTCTCACTGAAAAGAAACAATACTTTCCACAGGGCTGTATGGAAAAATACCTGATTCCAGGTCTGGAGCAGAAAATATACAAGAGCCTGAGATAACGATAGTGCTGAAACGTCAATAACATTAAAGCCTATTACATTGTAATGACACTCAGTGGTCACCTCGCAAGGTAAGCCATTCATCATTTTGAATCAATTCATTATTTTGAAAACTGGTAAATAAAGGGAAATAATCAATCAAACATTATCCTGCTTTTCATACAGGAGTTCTACCTAGGGGTAGTCAATATAGTTGACAACCAGTTTCTCTATATAGAAGTATTCCAGCAAATAACTGAAGAAGGATTTGGAATTAAGAGACTGTCATTTTATACCCCTAATAAATGGATGGATTTAGCCAAGAACCATCAGTGGCTGCTAACATCACTGACGTGCTGTGCCTCATAATCGAAGTCTGCCTCTGTAGCAGTCTTGCTGTGGTCCCCACTCAAAAAAAAACCAAAAATTCAAAAGCAAGTCTGCTTAAGCCTCTGTATCTGACTGCCAATTTTCAGAAAACAGGCAGCAGGCATATGTTCAACAAAGACATAATCTGCAACATCTAGACCGTGGAAAACGCAACAAGACAAACAACCCAGTTTCTTCTGTTCTTTAAAAACTGCAAGAAAAAAAGAGATGAAGAGGAGACTCAAAGATGGCAAGATTTAAAAGACAGATCAACCAATTCCAATGTGTGGACCTTACTGGGATACTGACTCCAAGACACTGTTTTTTAAGAAAACAGATAATCAGTTAAATGTGAACATCAACCATTAGCTGATATAAAGGAACTGCTAATTACTTTTTAAAGTGTGACAGTGGTATTGTGGTTAGGTTTTAATAAAGTCTTTTAGAGACACATACTAATATTAGAAATGAAATGCTATGCCTGGCATTTGCTTGGAAATACTTGAGGGGGAGTGGGTGCAAATAGAGTTAAGAGTCTGCCCAGACTGACAATTGGTGAAGCCGAGGGAGGGATGTACAGGTGTTACCATTCCACATGTACGTCTGAAAATTTCTGTAATCAAGTTTTAAAATGTGGGTCAGGACTTGTGCTAGGGTCCCCCATGGAATTCACAATAACCAAATACTCACATATGCATCCTCCCAAACTGATAACTGTATGGAGGGAGGAAAGTGCAATCGTTGGGAGACTGAAGTCAGGTTGTGTGGGTAGAAATCCGGGAGACTTATTTAACCCTTGTCTCAGTTTACTCAATAAAATGGACAAAGATGATACCCAAGTTATAGGATCACTATTATTATCTGGAAATTACCTAGGCAGTGTCAAGGGATGCTCACTGCTCGGTACATATAATTTTTTTATTAAACCCTCATTTGCACTGGGAATGTTAATGTTGGGCGACAGTTGGCCCCAGTTCTCCCACCCTCCCACACATTGTGTGGGTGTGCCAAGGCTGCCTGTCCCTGACCTCTTTACCCAGACCACTTCTCAGAACTGTTTTTGTAGCAGGCACCCTTGTAGGATGAAGTCATGTCTCCCTCCAGGACCACAAGCAGTGGTCTGCATCCTGCTTGCTGTGAGTGGCAGGTTCCCAGGCTGTTTACCTACTGCAAAGCACCCATGTATCCAGGTAGGCCTCCCCGTGGGGCTGGAGGGCAAGAGACAACCATGTTAATGTCTATGCTGCCCACAGTGCTGTTTCTGACCCAGTTATTCCTGGAAATAGGCCAATTTAACAGCTGGTAAGAAGGGTAAAATCAAACCCAGACCTACCAAGGAATGTCACAGCGCTTCCCATGAATTATTTCACTTAACCCTCCCCATCCATAACTCATGCTGGTAATTCTCTGCATGCAATGCCCCTTCACCCCTCGGAATGCATGCCTACCCACCTGCATGGCTATTGTGACCAGAAAAGCATGGGAACTTCTAAGGTGCTTCGCCCAAGACTATGTTTATCCTCCCACTGGACCATTATGCTTTTTAAACACACAATCTCTGCACCATCACCCAGTTTTTGTATAGTGTAACTTTTCTAACTGCCTATACTAGTAACATCTAGCTGCTGAGCACTCCACAGCTAGCACTTCACATGTACTTATCTGTTTAATCTTTATAACAACTCTGCAAGTAGATACTATCATCTCATTCTTAGATGGCGACAGTTCACCTGATCATACTAAGGGGTAAGCCAAAATTCAAGCCCTGATAAAATATGAGATCCATGAGGGCAAGGATCATTTCTGACTTCCCACCAAGATCCCAGAACGTGGCCCTAGAAGGTCTTCAAGGACTGAGTATGTTGGCAGAACTGAAGTTCTTGTCCTTCCAAGGCTGGCAAAATACCTGCGATTCCTGTGGGTACCCCAAATACTGACAGACTAAGGCGACCCAGGCAGAAGTGAGCTCGTAAGACTTGACCCTGCCATTGGAGAGTTTACAGACCACAGAGGGAAGGATCGCATTCAGTAAACAAGCCACTGGAACCTGAACTGATTCACCTAAGCTGAGGGCCTGGCTCTTTAGGAGCAGAAGAGCAGAGGCCAATGAGAGAGCCAAACTGTTTTGCATTAAAAACTGAACAGGAAATAGATGGCTGAGGCAGACAGGAAGGAAGGGAAAAAAATGAAAACTGTGAGCTTGATAACACATGACCTTGCAGCTAAGTGGTGCCTAAGTAGGTGAAATAGCAGAGGACTTGTATGAACAGAAATTTAACATACTATTTGTTACTTGTATGTCTGCAATGTCAATCCCCTTCTCCCCAGCCTTCAGTAAAAATGCCTACATTAAAAAACTGAAACCATATTGGGATAGCTCTCCTGGACTTGTGTGCGGGCAGGAGTCTGACACCAGGGGACACCCACACAAGATGAGTTATTCCTACTGCTCCGCCACGGTTTCAACTTCAAGCTTAGACTCCACATGATCTGATGAATCCTCACAACCCTGTCCTAACCAGGTGGGGACACAGGCTCAGAAAGGCCCATTCCCGATGCCAACATTTATGCTCTTCCCTTGTAGCATGGAGCCCCCCATCAAAACAAATTTACTGAGCTGTGTTGGGAAGTAAAATAAGGGAACCTCAGTCTCCAACACCTGGGCATCAAGACTGAGGTTCCAGGGCAGCCTGGAGAAGAAGCCAAGGCTTGAGCAGCGAGCTCTGGGCACCCACAACACCCCCAACGAGCCCCCGGACTTCTCGCAGAGTACAGCAGCCCTGCAGGACTTCCACCTGCCTTCTCCCCGATCTGCTGGTCCTTGGAGAGGCTGGTGATCATCTTCACGTCCTCGTCAGTCAGCTCCCCCACGGCAACCTTGTTGTCCTTCTTGGCCACATGGTTGGCTAAAATGACCGTGGCAAAGACAGGGAAGCCATTAGCAGTGTTAAGGGAGCCGTCATAGTTGTTGTGGTAGATGCCAGTCAGCTCCTGGGGAAAGGGAAGACCATGTGATCAGGAGGGCCAGCCCTGGTGTCAAAGTGGGAGCTGGGCCCACCTCCACACCTGGCTTTACCCATTTTTCTCCTCCAAGTTCTCCATGCTACAGACAACAAAATGAGAAGCTCAGCAAAACCAAAGCACAATTAGTCCTCAACCCAGTGTTCTAGTTGGCTAGTCCAATACAAAGAGTCACTCAAGAACTCACCCCAGCCAACTTCCCCAGGTGACATCGATCCCCCTCCTCCTCCCAGCCCTGCCACAAATGCTCACACAAATTTCCTTAGCAACTCAGCTCCCTTCCAGCCCACTCCTGGCTACGTACTATCTCGTCTCCTGGCTTGCAGCTGTCCACCAGATCAGCGAGGAGAATAGCATCCTTGGAGCGGGGCAGCCGACCAGCCGCCACTTTGCCAGGACTCTCCTGAATGCGGATACGCTGGTAGTTCTGATAGATGGTCTGTGAAGGACAAAGAAATAGTCACGGGGCCTGTCCCTATGTGGCAGACTTCACACTCCTCCAAGCACGGAATTAGGTCACCTGACCTTGACCACGGCCCTGTGAGCGACAGACAGCAGGGAGTGTCGTTATTCCCATCTACTGACTAGGAAACAGAGAGTCAAAGATGGCAGGAAGTGAACCCACTGTGATCAGCACATCAGTAGATGGTCCCCGCTCCTGTCATCACCCCTCTGGATGCCTCCTTATTGCTGGACAGTCAAGCACCTGTTACATGCCACATGGCTGAGCCTTCATGTGTATGGACGCTGGAGCCAGGCTGCCTCGGTTCAGATCCTGGCTTTGTGGCTTACACTGTGATCGTGGGTAAGTGACTGCCTCTCTATGCCTTTTCTGTAGAATAGGCATGCTAATACTGTCAACTGCCAGGATTAAATCAAGTCATACATACAAAGTACTTAAATTGATGTCCAAGAAGTAGCAAATTACATTAGCATGGGCTGATTGTCAAGTATCATGTCTAGCATTGTGCCATGCAATTTAATGTCTTTTATTTCACTTACTGTCTAGAAAAGAGACCACATAACATAGCAGTTAAAAGTGTACACTCTGGGTTAAAAAAGCGTACAATCTAATCATTTGAGTCACTTCATGGCTGGGTAACCCCAGCCAGTTTCTTTTTTTTTTCTTTTTTTTTTTTTTTTTTTTGGGCGCAGCTCCGGGCCGGGACTTGAACCACTGTTGCTCAGAGCTCAAACTCTTGAGCGAGCTCTTAACCAACTGAGCCACTCGGCCAGCCCCCCCAGCCAGTTTCTTCATTGGCAAAATGGGGTAATAGTACCTGCCTTTGTAGAGTATGAAGACTACATGTTTCACCTAGCACCTGGCAAGTACTCCAGAAATATCAGCCAAAATTATTAATCCTCTACTAGTTACTATCTCAAGTTTCCTAGAAGCA